ATTTTATTAATAATAATAATATCAATAACTAATAATAGTATATCAATAGTATTAATTTAGTTTATATTTTAATATAAAAAATATTTTTTTTTTAATAAAATTTTAAGTTTCGATTTTAGAAAATAAATGCAATCACGTGATATAATCAAATAAACTTCAATAATATATTTATGGTTTATTGAAAAGAGCCAATAAACCAATAGCCAATGATGAATAAACTTAATAATTTATTTAGTGATTTGGTTATTGGTCCAACCCTGCTGAAACTATTTCTGAATTTCAAGTATGAGAAGTGCTCTAAGACGGATTTAATAATTAATTCTAGATCGGGTCTAGCTTTGAAAGTGATAGGCCCTTTTTCTTGACATTGCTCACCGGAGGAGGGAAAAGATAAATCAGATATTTTGTTTTCTAGCTTCAAATTTATGACTTCCGATTCATGTACTTCTGATAGTTGCCATGGCTCATGCCCAGTTTCTTTTTTATATTTTTGTATAAGCTAGACCGAATCTTATCCGTCAAAATGCTTGGTAACCCAGTTAATTTGGCATGCCAATCCAGGTATTCGAGAGTTAATATTTTATTGGACTTGGTCATGTTGCCTTTTTTTATAATTGCAAATCAATCTAATTAGGTAATAGTTGACATGTGTAAAAAAATATCACAATAAATAATAAAGCGTCAGTTAGCAAATGTAGTCACAAAGTGACCTGACTATGCAACCATTTCAATTTCGCGCTGTTCACATTTAATAAAATAAAATCCAGCTTTATATGTACCTTCTATGCTTTCCTCATCACCATGCTCTAACTTGCATAATGGACATAATTTCTCGTTGGTAATTCCATAATAATCGAAATTTTCACTACTAAATTTTCTATATAAATTTGGATATTGATTCAATATCTTGTTTCAAAAATAGGTACGGTCATAAGTTGGCTTAGATTGGGATGCAGATGATACACTTGCGATCACCACCTCACCATCACAGAAATATTCCTCCTTAAAATCCGTAAGATCATTATCATCTACCTTAGCTGGAATGATTTGAGGTGTAGATGGTGCATTTACTTCAGGCAAGATTTTTTCGGAACGGGCTGTCTCAGAAATTTCAGTCACATGATCAGCTTCCAAAGACAACTTTTCTAAAGATATACCATAATCTATGATCTCTTGAAATTGTGCATCAGTAAGCTCTGAAATGGAATTTACGCTATATGAATTAATATACTTGATTTTATTTAGACCCACTTTTTCGAATAATTTATAGTTTTTTTCAGCTCTCTGAGTTTTCTTACGCAAGCTATCCTGTGATACAACCCTAACTTTTAGCCCTAATTCTTGTGATCTTTTCTTGCGAAGAATAGAAAGCTGTTCTGTGATGGTGTCATAAAGCATACTTCTCGCCTTCTTTTCACCAAATTTACCACTATTGCTTCTGATAATCTCATCAAGCTGATCTCTGAAATCCTTCCAGTAGAGGCACCAACATAAAATTTCTTTCTGATTAGCTCGATTTGCCCTATCTTCGGCATCGATGGCTTTGTCACATAACTGAGCTAGATATTGTGAGGCTTCATCAATGCTATCATAGGTAACTTTTCTGAAATGGGCTGTCTCGGAAACTTCAGTCATATTATTATGGTTTATAGGAGATGAGGGATCTAATTCCGAAGGGGGATTGAATAATTTGTGCTTGAGTTCATTCATTCCTTTTTTCTTGTGCGATCTATTACATGGCTGAATAACTGAGTCGAGGACTTGAGGCCTTTCTTCTTCAGACGGGATCCTAGAGAGACTAGGTATTGGAAGAAACTCTTGAGCTTGGCCAGAGGCGCTAAAGCAAAGTTTCTTCTCCCTATTGCGTTGCCTAATCTCATCGCTAACCTTTTTCTTTTGCACCTCGTCTAAGAAAACATCTATCTCTGTTTTCTTTGATGACTTGAAGCTGACAGGTGAAACTTCTGGTATCGGTTCTCTTGGTAATGAAGTATAATCAATAAAGTTAGCACCATCATTTAAACTATGAACATTACTACTTTTAAAGCCCAAGAATGGGTAAATTGAAGTTAGATGGGTTGTTATTAGGAGTATTATCATTTAACGTCTGCTTCTGTTCTACTTTCGTGAGTCTATCTCTAAACTCAACATTCTCAGATTTCAACTCCTCAATTCTGGCCTTGAGTTTGGAATTTTCAGCATCACGCCTCGTTCTCTCTTCCTCAGTCATTCTTAGAGCCTCAGAAATCCTGCGCTTAAATTCAGCTCTTTCAGCATCAAACTCTGAGATCTTTCTTCTAAGGACTACATTCTCAGCTTTAAGTTCAGTGATACGTTATTTTGATAATTCAAGCTCAGATGACATGATCTATATATAACTAATACACTGCATATAAACATTCAAAATAAAAAAATTTGCGGGACGGACTATCTCAGAAAATTGCTAAGAAAAATTTTTTATTAATAGGGGGTTTACTAAATTAAACGACCATCATACAAGTAGGCATCATCATTATGACAAACTTATTCGTTGTCTCTCTCTTTCTCAGCGACAATAAATTTTTTTGGCATGCTTAAAGCAATAGCCCGTATAAGATAATGTAGGTTTATCGCATATTCTACATGGAGATTTTAGCATATTATTTGCACCTGATTTCCAGTGGAGCGAGCATTCCACCAAGCGAGTGCAAATACGGCCACAAACACTTCTATCTTTTTTAATGTGTGGGCAGGTAAGACGATCCATTTATTATATTCTTGCACCTTTCACATTATAGAATTCGAATTTCAAAATGGAAAAATCTGAATTGAACTTGATGGAAAAAGTATAACATAAACAAAAAATATATACCACATCATACTACTTACATTTTTATGGATACACAAAAAACAGTACTCAATATTTTGTCAGACCGATGGATCAACCCAAAAGGAAAGCTATTCCAGAAGTTGATTCGTGAAGGTTATAAATATTCTGATAGACTTTCGGATTATTTAAAAGATATTGGGATTATGCATATTGGCAAATTCAAATTGGACCCTTTAGTAGACTTCTACCACCCAGCTTTAATTCCACCTCTATCTATTTTAGCAAGTAGAGTGGATATTCATAAAACTTTCTTATTAGTGTAGAATCTGCTGTTGTAGGAGGAATGAGTTTATTTACTCTGAAAAAAAATAAATGATCCTCACTTCAGAATCTAATCTGGATGAATTATTCCAGTGATAACTTGTTCACACTAATAGGATTAACTTGGAAGCAAGAAGAGATGAAAACTTGGAGGAATGACACGCTCATGAAATTCCTCCATCACCTGGATTTAGCCTCTTCAAAGCACAAACCAGGTGCTTTATACGATGCATTCACCAAGACGAATGTTTTAGGGCCAGAACATATACTAGCTCTAGCACGAATGTTTTATTAAAATGTTATTAGATACAGATGAATTTGTTTATAGCCTTGGAATGGCGGTTCTATGACTATATTTTTTTCGCTTATCATATATACCTGCAAAATTCAATTTTTTTTTTATTAATTCATGTGAAAATAAATACAAATATTCGGGACGTAGCCTAGATACACAACGAAGTTTCTATGCTACTGATAGCGGACTATTATTCTTTTTCGAAATACCTTTAACCCGTTGCTTCTTCATCACTGGCTCCTTCTTTACATCCACCCTATCCTTTAATAATCCTATGATAACCTCCATCACCTGCTTCACATTTTTACACAACTCTTTTTCTTCCTTTGAACCTTCTTTCAATGCAGACTCGCTGAACTGGATATTGAGTGAGTTTTTACTCGTATATGAAATACCATCTGAAGCAAATAAAATAAAATACCATTCTGTGGCTGTTGTGACGATCCCATAGATATAGTCGTAATCATCCCCAAATGCTTCACCCGACTTACGTTTTCTCTTATTTTTATTCATCTGTAATGCACTTTCGCATTGGACCAAATTCTGAGCAAAGCCCATGATCACTTGATGTAGCTTTCCTTCCGTGATGTAAATAAGTTCCTCAAGTGCCTTAATTGTGTAATCAACTCGTCCAGTACTTTCTTCACCAACAACTTTGAGCTGAGGAGCTAAGGTAAGCTCTTTACTGGTTATTCTTTTGACAATATAGAGCGAAGTATGAAGAATGGTTGAAATATACTCACAACGCATGGCTTCATTACTATCGGCAAGCATAGTCCCCATATTTCCCAACCTGCGCTTTATTTCCTTTATACACTATACCAATTCCTCGTTGTCGTCTTCGAGTTTATAGATCGCTTAGAAAAATGAGAGGAGTAAGTATCTTCATATAAATCCCGAGGCTAAGCGGTATTTAAAAAACTTACTGGTAGAAACTGACGAATGGTACCTATACCGTTATCATCAATACCATATTTCACTAACATCTTCTTCAAACTGCGGTATGAAGAGAACGCACGCTTCGGCTTTTCTTTGAGAGTCTTAGCTTCTTTTGCTAATTTTACAAGAAGTGTTGCTAGTCCACCTTTAAATCTATAACTACGTAATTTTTCTTCGGTCATATCAAGAAAGGAGAGGCCAGTAATTTCTTTCTTGCGAAGAATATCGAAGTGCTTTTTCTCGAGTTTGAGATTCTGCTCTTTCAAAAAATCGATAAGAGTCTCTGTATCCCAGTTCTCAACTAAGTAAGAGTCGTGTTCAGCTGTTGAGGTAGACATAGCGTTACGTTTTTATAGGGATATTTGGCTCAGACAAAAAAATAGTATTACTTTCCGGAGTGAGATAAAAATTTATTTCTGTTCGGGAAAGAAATTACTGGGCATTAATATAGGTTTTTATGTCGCACAGGTATTGCACGTGATCCATTTCTCATGTACGTTCGATAAAATAATACTTTATTTATGAAATAAAAAATATTGCTAGAACTGGCTTACAATACATAAAGTTTCCTAACTATTTGTTAGAGGAAATTTTGGGGGTGGTGGGATGTACAATGATTGTTAGACTACTATCATCAATAGTATCAAAATAATTAAGAAGTGAGTCCTTTCTATCCATTAGATTTTTTGGATGTACGCTATTTTTATAGAGATCAAAGTGGGTAGTATTAATTTTTCCTGCGACGTAGTTTTTGAGTCTATCAACACTGCAAGTCTGAAAAGTACTGACTACGAATTTATTGTTACCATTTTTAACAGTAACTTCTAAGTAATCGGTATCCATCCTCTTATTTTCCTAAATATAAGGCCCATAGTGAAAAAAACATTTCGCTCTCATACACACAACTTCTGGCATATACATACCCTATTTTACGTTATTTTCATTTTTGCGGAAAGTTGGCTGAACTTCCACATACCCCTACATGCTTTATATCTTGCTGGGGAAAAGAGCGTCAAGCCAAAGTTAAGGAGGTATGAGACATAATTAGTATTGTCGTCTGATGCCAAGAGCTTCATGAAAGCACATGTAAATGGAATCCTCATACCTTTTCACATGTAAATCTACCTTGCAAGACATATAGTTAGTTTTACGTTTAGCGATCTCGAAATTTCAAAGTCCTCAGCTTTCATAGCATATGCTTTTTTTGGCACTATTTACTTTTAGAGTTGGTCCTGTATTGCATGTAAACCTCCTTTCACATTTTTCTTACATTTGTTCGGAAAAAAATAAAGGTACTAATTAGCGAATATATATGCGAAATTAATATGTGAAAATGTCGCACAGACCTATTATATGATCAGCAAATTCTTCTGAACTGGCAATCACCGCTCCAGTTGATGATCAGTATTCTGGACTCAAAATTTTCCACATTAAATATATTACTTTATTATAGCAATCATGGCAAATAATCCCAAAACACTTGCTCTATTATATGGACTGTTTTTATATAAGAAGAAGGATATAATAGCTATTCAGGAAAAACTCAGTATTGGTGGAAATGCAAATCAGTTGGCAGTGCCTTCAGATTTCGAGCTCATGGGGAAAACACTTGCTGATTCATATGAGCTGTTGTTAGAATTGGTAGGGAATTTAATAGCGATACAGGAGAATCTCAACATTGATGGTAATCCTATTTTAGAAGTGGAATATCAAAGCGATGAAGCTTCTACAGATATTTCATTGGGGGAGATATTTAATTTGCTTACGTATTTGGAAGAGGATATAATAGCAATTCAGGAGAAACTCAATATTGTTAGCTACACTAACCAAGAAATGGCAGAAGAGGTCGATAAAAATGCAAGAGTATATCTCCAAAAGTTTGAGAAATATCACGGTCCTTTAGAAGATGTCCCAAGTGTGTTAATACAGAGATTCATCGATAAGGAAGTGAAAATGTTTTATTTTACTGAAGAGGGACTACCGTTATTCCCGAAAGTCACTCCTCAACAATTGCACGAAATTTTCGTAAAAAATTTGGCTGGTACTGACCAATGCTCATGTCTAGAACAGGTTAGCTAATCTATATTTTTTGTCGCACAGGGTATAACCCAACAAAAAATATTCTGTACTGATCACTGATCCAGGTTAGTTAGATCGGTAGAGTACCACTATTCTGCTTGATTGGCTAGTATTCTATCAAAATAATTCCTTGGTAATCGTCTGATAGGGTGCCAGATTATCAGATCTAAAGCCTGCGCCAAATTCTGATTGTTACGCATACTTAGATCTAAAAGTCTCTGAAGTCTCTGAGCTAAAATCTCTCTACTAGCAACATTATTCTATATAAGATGATTTCTAACCATCCCAATAAGATCAGGAGGTGTTATAATTTTCACAACATTATTCTGTGTAAGATGATTTCTAACCATCCCAATGAGATCAGAAGGCGTTATAATTTTCACAAAATTATCAATATGAATATTCAGATTAAGTGAAATGAGCTGATCTACAGCTTTTTTGCTAATATTATTACACCCTTCCAAATTGAGATACTTTATGTTAAGACACGAACTAGCAATTTCTTTGATAGTTATATCGGTAATTTTACAAAAGCTGAGGTCAAGATGCTGGAGCCTTAGGCAAGAACAAATAACATTACAAATTGATGTTTCAGAAAACTCTATATGTCTAGAAATATTTAGACATTCTATTTTATAACATGAATTCGCGATTGCACATAGGCCTTTATCATTTCCAAATCTACTACTGCATAAAGCAGATATATTAAGATACTTCAAATTTGGGTATAATTCTGCTATTAGCTTTAGAACTTTACTAATAGACTCGGGCTTCATACTTCCTCCAAAATCTAAATCTATTATATTTTGGAAAGTATGTATAATGCCTTTGATTTTTTTATTTGAAAGTAAACGATAGTCTGATATTTTGAGATGAGTTAGTTTTGAGCTATAAACTGGTCTTCTTCCCCCTCTACGTACTATTTTAAAAAATCTTTCCAATCGAGATCTATTGTCTACTTCATTCCCTTTTAGCTCAATGCGTCTCCATAAAATAGGACCACCACATCTGTACCAAAACTGGTAAACAAATAGGGTAGGATACAGTGTCTTATCTACTGCTAGAAAATATAAAATCTGCTCTAATAGTTCTGGTATAATAAAAATACTTGAATACGTCATGAATAATATATGCTGTATCTTTAATCAAAAAAAAATAGTCATTAAGGCACTTTGTAAAATTACACATATTGATGACCACTGCTTCAAATAATTGTTATTCTGCATTAGGTTCATTTTTTACTTCTTTAAATGGGATCACAAAATTATCGTCTAATAATAGTTTTGAATCACATATATTCAAAGTTGCACCATTTTCTCGAAACCAAGGTCCTCCTAAAATTAAATCAGGTCCCAGCCAATCTGGTCCAGGAACTATAAATTCAACAAGTATGCTTTTGTGCTTCTCACCATCTTCAAAACCAATATGCAGATTGACTTTTTCTAATGTGAAATAGGATGCATCCTGAGTTACAATGCTATTGCTTTTACTGTGATTTGTAATTCCTAATTCACCAATATGTTTTTGGCTAATGCAATTTACATCGGCACCTGTATCAATTGATGCCTCAATAGGGATATTTTTTTCGACTACACAATTCACGAATACCATTTTATTATGACATATATAATATTCAAATATAAAAAATAAACCTCTATTTAACACCTGATTTTTCGAATCCTTCTGGCT